CGAGGTCCCGAGGCGAGTCAGATTTCCCCAAAGAAAGGAAAGTGGGCGTAGTCGAACCTCGATTAAAAGGTATCGAAAGTGGTCCAGGGGGCGAAGCCCCTGAAAATTCTGACAATTTAGGGGTTTCAAAAGCTTATTTAATCGATTTTAGAGTCTACTAATGTATAGAAAATACATATACAGTATATTTTTTTCTCCTTAACGATTTGTGTTTTTTCTTCCCCGGGAAGGGCTGCCCCCCCACCCGCCGCCCGCTGACGCGGGCCCTGATGGGGACCATAAATGGCTAGCTAGCTAATTACAACTCAGGTTGCCGTTGCGCCTAACATGAGCATCATTATAGCGTTGTGATTGTTTTATATATTTTATGTGTATATAAAATTAAGATTAAATAGCGTTTAGAAAAAATAAAGAAAAGGCTCCGCCACCGTACGTCAAACACAATCCATTTTGCTCTCCACAGGTAAAAATCATAATTTTGCTGCTTTTTATTGTGGTGTGTGACAGTATTTGTCCATCTACCTGGTACACAATTCCTGGAAACCGATGCATCAAGGTAATCGCAGGCACTGTGCCTATTAGCAATATGCCTGACAGTAGGATGTGTGAGAAGTACACCATTAGCACAAAGGTTGCATCATATATGTCAGTGACATCACCGAATGATTTGACCATAATACATAACGTTAATATTTGGATTATTTTCTACTTGGATTGGAACTATGTCGGAACGACCTACTATTACAACAATGGAAGTGTGGTCGATATTGGTGAATATTCTTTAGAAGATTCCACTGATGTCGAAGCAGGCGGTTGTGTTGCTGTGGACGTGACTAAACATCGATTGTATGGAGACTGTGACCAACTACCAGTTGGATATGTTTGTGAAATAAAACTTTGAAATGTTAAACTTTGACTTTATGCTAGTAATAAAACACGTTTTATGCCGCAGGACGCGAGTACCAGACGAAACAGAAAAAGCAAACACCAGATTAGATGGAAATTGTCATTTTATTCAATGACGAAAAATTTAATATATAGATAACATAAAACGTGTAATGGGGCAGCCACCCATTGATGTCGTTATATTAGCTAAACATTTTATAGAATAGGAACATAAGGCTGCCCCTAAAGATTAAATATAAAGAGTATATATAAATATATAAAATAAATATAGAGAATGACTATATAAGTTCAGACTGTTACGTTCGACATACACCTGACACGTGATCAATACATAAATACTTCAATGGCGATTACAATATATATCGTACATGATGAGTTATAAAACGTTAATTTAACAAATTAAGCATCAAATCAATATACCTAAAAACTAATTAATTACTAACAATCTGGGTGCACGCGCCAAAGACCTGACTACAAGGAAAGGTCACCACGCAGACAAAAAGAAACAAAATGGGGAAGAGTCAGGAGCTATGCTCAACAGACACCCCCCACCCCTAAAAATCAGTGAATGGTACCGCGAGTGCCTGCTCAAACGGTACCAGACTCGAATTTTATAAAGTGGATGATTGGATCCGAATACAAGGTAGTGGGCATGGGAAAGTGGACATGCCTACTTAACAAAGACGCCAGCTTCTCCATTGTAACGAGTGAAGTGTGACGGATGTTTTGCCAATGATAAAATGTTAATCAAACGGCGTAGAAACGCATGGCACGACCCGGTAGAACAATACTGCAAGCGTGTTAAGTAGACCGACCATTGATTGCATTTCATACAGAGTCACTTTCCTCCTGACTAAAAATATGTTTAGCTTCGCTGCAGAGAGGCTGAGGGTGCGAGAAGCGGCAGACTTCTGACCCCTGACCTGTCTTTTCATTTTTATACTGTTTATTGCTTATGCTTTAGTCCTTTTGTCTTAATTGTATGCTTGAATAATTAACTTGCTTAGGTCTATACACCAAGTTTATGTTAACTTCATATATATATATATATATACATATATGTATATATATATATATATATATATATATATATATATATATACACACATATATATGTGTATATATGGCGTTCATCTTTTTTATTTATTTTATTTATGTATTTATTTCGGTATAAAATATAAAAATACAAACTGGCAGCAAGAGCTGAAATAGGTTGCATTACAAAAAAGATATATTACAAAATTACAATATAAGAATTTACAATATATAAGATTTACAGGATAAATTCAAAATGGAAATACAATAAAATTAATTAAATTAAAATTCATTCATTAAGCTACAAGAAAAATAATTTATCCAACTATACAATTAACTAATTTTTCATTATCATTACCACTAATACTGAATTAATCATTTTACATTTCTTTTTAGAATAAATGAGATTGCAAAAGTTATGAATAAAGTACAAAATTACAAAAACTAAGACAAAAAATACGAAAAATTATTAAAAATTATTCAAAACAAAATAAATCAAAAGTAGAAACAACAGGAACTATTGGACTCGTAGGCTAAAAAGGTCAGAATAAAAGTTTCATTGCAAAAGTCATTCATTTAATAAATTTATCAAAAATGGGATAGGAGACTTTCTATAGCGTTCGGTTCTAGAATATGGCACAATAAATTTAGTGGAGCTTCTCAGGTTGTAATTAGGAACTCTAACTTCAGGCAAAAAATCCCTATGTCTATCTGAATGTAAAAGGCTCTTAGCAAATCGAACACATACATTCTTCCTACGATCTTCCAGCGAATCAATTCCTAAAATATCCAGTAATTCACTATAGTGATAAATATTTGGCCAACATAAAATACGAAGTGATCGTTTTTGGAGAAAAATTGTTAATTTTGTAAGATTTATTATTATTATTATTATTATTATTATTATTATTATTATTATTGTTCTCAAAGTACAAATTACAATCTCATCAAAGCAATGTACACATATTAAATATATATAAATATTATTATTTTAATAGTAGTATTATGCTTATTTATTATTGTTGAAATCATTAATAATATTATGTATATATTATTACTGTATTGTATTTCTGTTATTTAAAAATTGTATTTTAATATTAGAATGAATTACATTGTTAGTACTCTTTTATAATAATATTATTTATAATATTTTTATTACCACTATTGATATCATTACAGTATTATCATCATCCGTCATTATCATCCTCATCCTATTCGTCATCATCATTCTCATTGTTGTCTAATCATCACAATCATCCTTACTATCATCGATCGTTGTAATCATCACCATCATCATATTTTCTTCATCATCATCCTCATCATCATATTCATCCTCATCCATCATCCTCATCATCAGCTATTGGCACAGTGGGACAGTCCCACACCATTTTTTCCAATGGGTCCACAAAAAATGCGTCCACATTTTAAAAATGGGTCCACATTTTAAAAATGGGTCCAAATTATGTAATTTTATGCATAAAATGGATCCAGATTCCTAATATTTAGTTAAATATGGGTAAAATTTAAGAAAATGGGTCCAGATATTTAACATTTTTGCGTAAAATGGGTCCACATTGTTTGAATTTACACGTAAAGTGGGTCCACTCTGATATTGTCCCACACCGTTTGAAAATTGATTGATTGATCCTCATCCATCATCGTCACCCTCATCACCATCCTCACAAATCATTGTTAACATCATCACCGTCACCTTCATCCTACTAATCATCCTCATCCATCATCATCCTTATCCTCATCATCACCAACCTCATCCTTATCCTACCTACCATCATCACTCATTCATCATCATAGTCCTCACTATCATCATCATTGTCAATATCATCCTCATCATCATCCTCATTACAATCATCATCTATCATCATCATCCATCATTATCCTTGTCCTCATCATCAACCACATCATCATCCTTATTAATCATTATCAATCATCATCCTCATCATGAGGATGATAATGAAGAGGATGAGGAAGACAAGAATGAAGATGAGGTTAAGGGGCAGAGGGGATGTTTCTCATCATTCGTCATCATTAACCTCATCAACATCATTCTCATCAATCATCCTCATCATTATCACGATCACCCTCATCAACGACCATTATCATCAATCATAATCATCATCATCCTTATTTTCATCATCATCAAACTCATCATCCGAATCCTTCTCCTCATTATTATCATTATCCTCTTCATCATTATCAGATCATTTTCATCATTATCCTCTTCATCATCAAAAACCATCATCATCATGAGGATGATGAAGCTGAGGACGACGAGAATGAAGATAAGGACAAGGGTGAGGATGAGAGAGATGATTTTCATCATTCATCATCATTATCATCATTCTCATCAATCATTAATTCTGTCATTCTCATCACCATCATCACAATCATTATCATCAACAACCATTATCATCAATCATAATCACCATCATCTTCTTCCTCACCATCATCCTCATCATCTTTCTTCTCCTCGTCATCATCATCAACATCCTTCTTATAATGGGGATTATAATGAGGATGGAGATGGCAATAAGGAAGATGATGATGATAATAATAATAATGACATCAGTATATTAAGAATAACAGTACTAACGCTAATATTAATGTGAATTATAAACTATAAATGTTTTAAAACACATAAGAATAATGATATACTATATTAATAATATTATAGAGTAACAACATAATAGTATACTAATGATGATGAAGAAAAATGTAGTGTAGAAAGATTAAATTTAAATAGGTAAACATTTCCTTTAATTATGATTGTCGTAGTCTTGGAATTTGGTGTGTTGACGTCATCATTCCAAATTTACTTGGGAGGTGGGGAATTCCCGTGTGACAGGCCTAGACTCCAAACGTCCGACGCCACGACGAGGTCACCACACCACAAATAATGATTTGCTTATCCATATAACATTATTTTGATATATTTTGGCTTAAAAGCAAAATTTTGGGCCATACAAAGCTAAAAAAACTCTCCCATAAGCCCAGGGAAGTTTATTCCGGGACTCTGACCGAAGGTCTAGTCGGCCCTGTGTTTGGACCCACCCTATCAGACCCACTGTGACCACCACTGAACGACTATAATGGGTAAGTACTGTATTTAACTAAGGTCCTCTCAGTTTTGACAGTTATAGAAAAAAAAGTAAAAGTGACTAAAAACATAAACATTTTTCCAATATCCCCATCCAAAAATTGGTATTTTAAAGCAAAATTTCACTATTTCGTTTTTTCGTTGGGTTAACTTTGTAATAGTTCATTAATTATATATATTTATATAAAAAAATATAGTTATAGAAAAAAAAGTAAAAGTGACTAAAAACATAAACATTTTTCCCATATCCCCATCCAAACCAATCCCTAATATTTTGGCTTAAAAGCAAAATTTTGGGCCATACAAAGCTAAAAAGAAACTTCTCCCCTAAACCCAGGGAAGTTTATTCCAGGACTCTGACCGAGGGTCTAGTCGCCCTGAGTTTGGCCCACCTTATCAGACCCCCTGGGGCCACCATATATATATATATGTTTTTTTTTTATTCCTGTATGTATAATATTGTGTTGGGATTGTATTGTACTTTGATAACAATAAAATTATTTTTACATTAAAAACATAGTTTTTCCCACCTTAATGGACGCCATCTTGGAATTTAACATGATGATGTCATCATTCTGATCAAATTTTTAAATGAGAGTGATGAGTAACTATTTAGCCAAGTTGTTGTTACATTTCATATTCACAGTATATGTAAAAGTGACCAAAAACATAAATTTATTTCCCCTACCCCCATCTTAAATAGTTAAAAATAGGGTATTTTAGGTCAACATTTCAAAGTGCTGTAAAAAAAATTGCCCAAGCCCTAGGCATGGTGATTTTCTTTCTGAGACAATATAGGGTATGCTGATTCAGAAAAACCAAAAATTTATTTTCCTTTACTTTTTTCCCGCTAAAGTTTATTTCTGCAGTTTTACAACCAGACTAAATGTCTAATATTGCATTATTGAAAGCTCGACCCACACTGCCGGAGAATGGCGTTGCAATAATTTGCGTAACACAACGTGTTTACATTGGAGGCCAAGTTTAAGGAATGAAATAAGATTGTCAATTTTCCGTACAATGAAATCGTCAGATTTTTTATCAACGTCATTTTCTCTTAGGTGAATGTAAACTATCATGCTGTGTAGTTTTGTAAAATCACCTACTTTTTTGAATTGAATTGAATTTATTCGATGCTCATATATAAAATATAGAAATACAATATAGGAATTTTTTTACAATAATCAAATAAAACGAGCATCTGGAACACCCATTAGGCCGGGAATCCAGCCCATTTCCAATGGGGTCCAAATTGCACAATTAAAAAGTTATCAAAATTAATACATTATTAAAAAGGAAAAGGAAAAAAATGCAGCATTTAAAAACCAAGATGCTTTGTGCAAAGGGAGGACTTTGCACAAAGCAAATATTTGAATAGTAGTAGTAGAAGCCTATTGCCAAACCGGCCGAATAATCTAGTTACTACGAATAATTAAACAAGTTGCAATTGTAAACCAAATTATATTCTATACTAAAAGTATGTACTATACCGTAAAAGCCTCCCTCCTTAGTTTGCAAAATAATAGCCTCGAAAAGAAGACCATGACAGCATAGACTTCTTTTCAAGAGAGTACAGTACATACACTGTACATGAATTTAAAAAAAAAAAACAAACAAACAAAATAAAATTAAAAACAAGCTTAGTTTAGACAGTAATTTAAGCGATGTAATGCCAGTTAAATACATTCCATGATAAAAAAAATCGACGTTAAGGGAAATAACACAAAAGATATTCCCCCTGGGCTAGTTATTATTTATAGGTCTAGTAAATAGTATGGTTCTTCATTACAAGGCTTAGGTCAAGGTAATTAATGCTTAAATTATTATTATTATTATTATTATTATTATTATTATTATTATTATTATTATTATTATTATTATTATTATTATTATTATTATTATTATTATTATTATTATTATTATTATCATCATTATTTATTATTTAACATTAATTACATTACAAGGTTAGTTTGGCAAAGTTTAATAACGCCGCCGAATGGTATATTTTATTTATTTAATAATATTTCTCTTATGCACTCTATTTTTTATTTCATGCTTTAATTTTTTTACATTTTTTTTTTCAAAATCTCAATCAACGTCTGTATGTAAAGCGTGACTATTGGTGTCAGTCTAGGACCATAGGCCTATAATACTAGGTAGGACTTAACTTAGCCTGTAGTTAGGCCCATAGTTTATCCTCTTTCTCTCTAGCCTTTGGTATTACTGTACCTACCTACACTTTATAAAAAGGGGTACTAGCTGTTGTCGTTGTAGATATCATACTAACATTTAATAAAATCCCAAGAAGGTCACAGTTAGTTACACACGTACATCCCATAAATCCGTAAGATATCATAGGCCTACCGTAGGTAAACATACAAAGAACAATAATAGTAAAACTCGAGCGTCACGACATTGCGAAGTGTCTGCTCTTGTTCCTCTTATCGAACTTAGTCGAGTCAATCCGAGATGGCCCGAGTGAAGTTTCATGCAAATGTTTCGTACGGAAAAAAAATCGCTACCCGATCGGCAGTGAAGGTCCCGTTGCAAGAAGAAGAGCATGTGCACATACTCTTGGAAGCACTGCTTCCATTCCAGTGTTAAATTGGCTATTCTGACGCCACCACACGATTGTCACAATAGCAATTAAGCGTTGAAGGGTATTCTATATGTGTGGGTGTGTGTATGTGTATGTATGTATATTGTAGGGTGTATGTGCGTATGTGTATATGTGTGTGTATGTATGTATGTATGT